TCCCTTCTCTTAGCCAAGTGGGACCTTTTACTTAGTACCTTAGCTAAGTTACCTTTCTCTTACTATTTCTGAAAAATTGGCACCTTTTTTCCCTGCTTACTATAAGTTTAGGAGAATTGTTTTCATCAATGTAATAATGGTCAGTTTACATGAGAATTTATTTATTTCTGAACCATATTAACAGTTTTCCTCAGTTGTTTGCTGATTATTCTTTCTCATATACTTCTCTTGGTTTAACCTCCCACATATTTGTACCAGGCCCTTAAATTCCAGGAGATCTGTGGTTTTCACTTACTTCACACATTAACCCCTGTTCCCTTGTCACCCTGTCTGCCTCCGGCCCCGGAAGTCACTGGTTGGCTCCTCCTGCCATCAGGTCTGGGAAGAGGGAGCAGGAGGCTACCTGTATCCGTATTTATTTCCCTATTACCACCTCTAAATAACTTTAAAGACGTTCTCCAGTTAAACCATAAAGAGGATTTTCAAGTTTAATTCGCTTTCCCAATGTGGGCTTTGATTTCCTGTTTTCAAAAGCAAGGTACACAGTGAGAAATGTTGGGTTCTCCTCCTTTCATGATCTCATCTAGGATCCCACTGACAATTTTCTAATCATTTACTGGGAGTTATGCTTATATCATAGGAGGTTGATGTTTTCAGTAAGGAAATTACGAAACTATCAATAAGGCCCAGAACATGTAAAAAGGAAAAAAAAAAAAAAAGGAAACACCTCCTTTAAGACAGAATGGGAAAAAAATCTGGAAAAAGTGACGTTACATGTGTTCATTCAACAGATGCTTATTATGTACAGTCAGGCCTCCGTATCCTCAGGTGTGGATTCAACCATCTAAAGGCCAAAAACATTTGGGGAAAAAAACTAAAAATAACAATATTGTACAAAAAAAAAATACAAATTTTAGAAATACAGCATGACAAGTATCTGTGTAGCATTGATATGGCGTTAGCTATCGCAAGTAATCTAGAGATAATGTAAAGTATATGGGAGGATGTGCACAGGTTATATGCAAATACTATGCCATTTTATATCAGGGACTTGAGGGTCCTCAGATTTTGGTGGTCTCGGGAATCCTAGAACCAATCCCTCAAGGATTCTGAGGGACAATTGTGCCTACTCTCTGTCATTTTCGAGAACATTTCTCCAAAGTTAAAATGGAGTTGAGATGAATCTGCCATAGGTGATTGGCAGTTGGTGACCTTGTGACTTTGGGCACATTTTTTAATGTGTGCCCATGCGTCTGCTCCTCATTTATAAAAGAAGAATAACAGAGGCCCTGCTCTGTGGAGTCCTGGTGGAGTGAGTGAGACATTGCGCTTGGCACAGTCATGGCACCTGGGCAGGTGGTCACAGCTGTTGCCGCTGTTCTGTGAGAACATTTAATAAAAAATAAAATGGAGTTGAGATGAATCTGCCATAGGTGATTGGCAGTTGGTGACCTTGTGACTTTGGGCACATTTTTTAATGTGTGCCCATGCGTCTGCTCCTCATTTATAAAAGAAGAATAACAGAGGCCCTGCTCTGTGGAGTCCTGGTGGAGTGAGTGAGACATTGCGCTTGGCACAGTCATGGCACCTGGGCAGGTGGTCACAGCTGTTGCCGCTGTTCTGTGAGCCCATTGGGTGAGGCAGCAAGATTGTAGGGATTGGTTCAGTTCCTGCTGACAGTTTGCTAGCCACTGACCAGTGCCTGGTCCCTGCCTGAACAGCCTCAGAGACATTTTGGTTTTGAGGGTAGCTGTGTTTTCATATTTACCTGGGGCTGCTTAAAAGGTTTTAGGGCTGGAGAATGTCAGTTATTAGAAAAGTCAGAGATCTGAAATAACATACATGCTGTAAAATGAAAATGGTTTTGATGAAAAAATATTTAGTCATTTGGTGGCAAATTAAACAAAGGATATGGCTGCTTTTCGGCTGAATAGGTAATGGGGGAGAACTGAGGGTGGTTAGTGCAGGTTCTGGGAAGGGCCCCTTCTGAATCCTGTGTGATTCTGACACCTTGTCAAGGCTTCCAGTATAGAGAACAAACAGGACTGGATAAAGCACATCCGCGAGGTGATACAGGAGAGGACCGTCCACCTGAAAGGAGCCCTGAAGGAGCCCATCCACATCCCCAAAACAGCCCCGGCCACAAGACAGAAGGGGCGGAGGTGAGTGCTCGGGGACGAGGCAGTGATTTTTCTCAAACATTTTGAGGAATATGTTTTTTAAAATACCGCTTGTGTATAACATCTTTCTTAGTAACAAAGCCACTTTGTCAGGACGAGAACCTCTGTTATCTGAAAGTAAATGCAGGACCGTGCAAATCCCTCGTCATTTTCCCTCTCCTGCCCCAAGTGCTATTCAGCACGCACAGGGAAATCATCATGTGATGTTTTTGTTTTCTCATTTCTAAAATGGAAATAACCCTATTAACTGTATTATATAGTGGTGAGAATTCTGGGAATGATGTGTTAGACACTTAGCACCGGGCCTCGTTTTTGTTTTCTCATTTCTAAAATGGAAATAACCCTATCAACTGTATTATATAGTGGTGAGAATTCTGGGAATGATGTGTTAGACACTTAGCACCGGGCCTAGCCAAAGACCTGTGCTCAATGAAGAGTGATTTACCCTTGTTAATGTAATAGCGGTGGTGGGCAGTCACGCAGACTGGTATGCCCCTCTTCACAAATCTCTTATCTCTCCAGTGACGGGTAGATGATCTTTACCAGGCCTGCAATGTCAGGAATTAAAAGTTGTTTGTACCACCAGGGATGGAGAGGATCTGGACAGCCAAGGGGATGGTAGCAGCCAGCCCGATACGATTTCCATCGCCTCTCGGACGTCTCAGAACACACTGGACAGCGATAAGGTAAGCTGCCACCAGAACTTTCTGTGGCTAGTCTCTGGCTGAAGCAGCCTCTTTCTGTCTATAAGTGACAGCTTGTCAACATTTTCAAACAGTTGGTGTGCACAAGAGTGGTGGCAGGACCTGTGCAAGGGCAGAGACTTTAAGGGGTCAGGGTGAGAAGATTTGAACCCTGAGGATTCAAGAGAAATCTCAGCTCTCTGTTCTGCCCTTCGAAGTGCAGTTACAGGATTTTCTATCCGGACGGTCGAGGGCAGTGTACCTGAGTTTTTAAATTTTATTGTTAAGCCATTAGGAGCTATCATTTAAAATAAAATCCCACACAGAACCAGTATGTAAAAGTGGAGCTGCTCTGACTGAAGCAGAGCCACTAGCATCTGCTGTGGTGGCCCTGGGGTGTCTTCTCAGAGCACAGAAAATGTGCCCTGGAATTGGCCTGCAATGATGATGACCACTGGGAGGATAGGCAGATCTGATTTTTATCAAAAAAATCCCCAAAACTAATACCTTCTTCAAAAGTAGACTAGAGTATCCCATGATTTTGTCTCGATAGAATCCAAAAATCCTACAAAATGAATTGACAGTAGAATTTGGGATCCTGAGTTTACGTGATAGACAAAAGACCAAAGAAGTCCTCTCTCTGTCAAAGCTGATGGGGAACATTTTTCTCACTGGAGTCTTCTGTTCCTACTAAGATCAGCACCTGTTCTGTTCTATTTGTAGAAGCATAGGTCAAATTCTTTTCTAAAAGATTGACAATACATAGGGGTTATATTCTAGTCACCATCAGTTCAGACAGAACTCCCAAGTGACTCACTCTCCAGTGCGAGCTGTACTCTGTCACGCTGGCCTTAGTCCTTGCGATGAGACATCGACGGCTCCTGCGCCAGCATTTCCACACCCCTGCGTTCGAGGGAAGGACAATGTCCTGGCCTTGCCATCCCAGGCAAGTGATGCCCTCAGAGGACAGAGTCCAGTATGTGGGGGTTATTTCAGATGGCACCTTATCGTCCCAGTCTTTGGCCTTTCCCCACTTGGTTTTGCAGAAGAATTCATGGTATTTAATGTTATAGTTTGCAGGACAGAAGTAAGATTTCAAATATTTCTCTGCAATGATTTCATTTACAAAATCCTTCTAGTATGAGTAATTTAGTTTTAGGGTTTTTTTTATTTTACTTTTTGAGTTCACTAAACAATAAGTCCTAGAACTTAGAGTGCTTAGGATAACAGGACTGGAGAATAGAGAGAACCTCTCGTTTTGTTTTGTTCACGACCCTGTGTATTAGCACTCAGCAGATATTTCTTGCCAGTGGTAATAAGAAATAAGATAAATGACATGTCCAGGCATTTGGTGCCTAATAGCATTTCTCCCTGAGGCCCCACCCCATAGCTGTTTCATTTGAAAAATTAAAGTTTGAACTTGGAAACATTTTGTTTTTTTAAAAAACTAACCCAGGTGATTAAATTATACTAGTCAGTTTATATGAGTTGCCTCCTGAAAGAAAAGTCAGAAATAATGTTGTTCAAGTGTGAGGGGTTTGACGCCTCCACACAGGCTTTCACAGAAAGCCTCACCCCTGAAATTCATCACCATCACCCCTGAAATTCAGCCTGTGCCCTGCAGCGTGTGGCTGGCTGGGATTCATGGGCGGCTTCACAGCTTCCACAGAAGTAAGGCTGTAGCCAGGAGCTTAGGAATAGGGGAACTTGCATAGCTTCAAATCTGCTACAGCATAAACAGGGTTTACATGAACTTAGAATACAGAAATGCTATTTGTATCCAATGAGAGAATAAGGATAAGTCACTAACAGAAAAATACAGGTTTGTAGCAATGAATCATTTCACCCTGGGAGTCTACTGGGATATTAGAATTTTAAAAGAACTGCCTGTTAAATATTTTATCGCTGAAGATAGAGTCACCAGTTTCTGTCTACCTCATCTAATGGGTTGTCTCTAAACGTCATTCCTGAGCTCAGAAATCCCTGAAGGGTCACTTCTGCCAGTTCTGCCTCCTCCACCCAGGCTCTGGAGACGTGGGATCCATTTCCTTTAAAACCCCTCGCTGAGACCTAGGTCTTTAATAGGTTCTAAAGAACAAAAATGGGATGAAATGTCCTCCCACGATAATAGAACTGCAGCAGTGATCTTCAGTTCTTGGAATCTGCATTTGGGGTTAAAATAAACACTGCATGAGACTAAAGATTAGTCAAAATTTGGAGTTTGGATCAACATGCCCATTAGGCCTTAGAAAAAAGGAGCGTGTTGCTGCGGCACCTGTGCCTGCAACTTTTGTGTTTTCTGCTTTTGAAAAGTTTTCTTTTGGCCATCTCCCTTTTTATGCTTCTCTGGTAGAACATTTCATGGTTAGTAAGTGATTCAAGGAAATACAGTTTGAAAATTAGGGAACTACATCCTTTCCTGAGTCAGTTTGTAAAATGCACTGTTTGTCTAACTAGGCTTAACCAGCAACCCCCTTATCTACATTGACAATAACTTTTCTTATGTCTCAAAGTTCTTTCCACCTTACATATTTCAAGTTTAAGCAGCCCCTGGTGACACGGGCAGATGGATCTGGCAAGGGAAATTATTTAACGACATTCTGCCTGTTTGACTTGATATATGATGTCTGTTATGAGTTAGTTGTTATCGTGGAATTTGGTTCCATTTCAGAAACTGGGTGGGGGGATGTTTTTGACTGGGCCTCTTGGAGAATTCTTAAGGAAAATGTTATCTGCCAGAGCTGTTAGTAATTCTCTGATGAGACACAAAAGGCTTGGGAAAGAGTCTGTGAAGGGAAGGGCTTCGGAAACCCCCTCTTCCCAGGGAGCACTGTGAACAGAGACCTAGGCAGACACAGCCACAGGCCCCACGAGCACATTCCTTCTTTGAAAACATCAGTTGTGAAACATGCCATTTCTTTGTTCCAGAAGTGAATTCAGCACCAATTCTTGCTGATATTCATGGCGCTTAGGCTGATAAAAATGATCTTATGAAAATATAATTTGGGTTCCAAAGAAATCAGATGCTTTCCAGATTCTTATCTCATCTGTCCTGAGCACATCTCCCTGAGGCAGGGAGGAGAGGACTGAACCAGCCCTCGGGGCATTAAGGAGATCCAGGGTGGTGCTCAGCCGCCCAGCAGCAAATCTAAAGCCAGACAGGGAATGTGGGCGTAACCATCTGTCGTTTTCTAGACCTTATTATTTCACACTAGAACTGAATTTGGATATTAAAGAAGCATTTTTAAAAACTTTTTCCCCACTCTCTGCCTTTTTAGTCTGTGATTTATATCATTTAACTAAAGTTTATATTATGAAGAAAATAGAAAGTGTGGGAACCAAACTATAATGTACTGTAAAACAAAGCATCTTGAGGCCACTAATGGAAGAATTGCCACAGCAAGGTGAGGTATCCTGTGGAAAAGCTGGCCCAAGCCAGCGGGCTGTGAGCTGTCTTTGGGATCTAAGGCAATGCAGTTCTTATTTTTAATGAGTGAAAAATTCAGTTGAGACCAGTGCTTTACATGACCCCCCCTCCCCCAAGCTTATAACACGAATATATGAATCTAAATATTTTAAAAAGTGAGTGGTTTCAGTTACACTTAAAAAAATTCTTTTTAGGGGCCGGCCCAGTGGCGCACTGCTGTAGTGCGCTGCTTGGGAAGCGCGGTGGCCTGAGGGTTGCGATCCGTTGCCGGACACGGAAAAAGACAAAAAAAAAAAAATTCTTTTTAATTGTACATGTTTATGGGGTATAATGTATTGTTTCCATACATGCATGTATTGTATAGTGATCCCCTCAGGTAGTGGGCATATCCATCATCTAAACATTTATCATTTCTTTATGGTGATAATGTTCAAGATCCTGTTTTCTAGCTATTTTTGAAATATACACTACAATATTATTAGCTACAATTACCCTAGAACACCAGAACTTATTCTTCATATCCAGCTGTAACTTTGTATCTGTTGACCAACTTCTCCCCCTGCCCAAGCATCTGGTAACCACCATTGGACTCCCTACTTCTATGAGAACTGGTTTTTTTTAGTTTTCGCATGAGTGAGATCATGCAGTATTTGTCTTCCTGCACCTGGCTTCACTTAACATAATTGTTTCCAGTTCCCTCCATGTTGCTGCAAATGACAGGATTTCGTTCTGTTTTATAGCTGAATAGTATTCCATTGTATGGATACCACAGTTTTCTATCCATTCATCTGTTGATGGACATTTAGGTTGATTCCATCCCGTGCCTATTGTGAATAGTGCTGCAGTGAACATAGGAGTGCAGGTATCATTTTGATGTTTTGACTTCATTTCCTTTGGATATATACCTGGTAGCTTAATTGCTGGATCATAAGGTAATGCTATGTTTTGTTTTTTGAGGAGCCTCCATACTGTTTTCCATAATAGCTGTACTAATTTACAGTCCCACCAACAGTGTACAAGAGATCCCTTTTCTCTACATCCTCACCAGCATTTGTTGTTTTCTGACTTTTTGATAATAGCCAGTCTAACTGAAGTGCGATGGTATCTCAATGGGGCTTTAATTTGCATTTCCCTGATAACTTATGATGCTGAGCACTTTTTCATATAAATTTTTCATTTTGCCATTTGGGTGTCGTGGGGCTTTAATTTGCTGATAACTTATGATGCTGAGCACTTTTTCATATAAATTTTTCATTTTGCCATTTGGGTGTCTTTTTTTTAATCAATTTTTGTTTATTTTTGTTGGGGACAGTGTATTGTTTCAATACATGCATATACTGGTAGAAAACATAGTTTTGTACCCATTATTCCTCTTTCAAGAAATGTCCATTCAGGTCTTTGGCCCATTTTTTAGTCCAATTATTTGGTGTTTTACTGGTGAGTGGTTTGAGTTTTTTATACTTCAAAAAGTTCATGGAAAAATAGAATTGAAGGATAGTATGAATACCCTGTATTCTGTATATCAGCTCCTTTTCAGATGAATAGTTTGCAAACACCTTCTCCCATTCTATACATT